CTGAAATCAATATGTACATGAACTTACATCCGGATTTAGTATGTAGCTGATATTAATGTAAACTGCAAAATGTAAAATAGGATGCTAACAGATGATGACACAGGGTAAGAAGTGTTAGTTTGATGCTCGTGTACCATCTCTTTTTGCCTGATATGTTAATTACTGAGATGATGTGCTATTTAATTCTAAGGAAGAGCCATCTCCTGGTCATTGGTGCTTCTTTCACCAGACTTCCTACACTCCCTTTTTCCTCTGACCCCACAGGGTCAACTGGCCAAAGGCCACACAAGGAATAGAGTCTGTCTAGAACCAGTCATCAGATTCAGACATGAAACAATAAGATAGTTCACATGTGTAAACCAACGAGCCCCTGATCAGCACTTTGTTACATTACAAGCAATGAATTCGGAATGAGCACAATTTGGAGCTTCTGAGATCTGACTGCCTGCTGCATTTTGTCCAAGAAATGGAACTGCCACTGGCTGAATGACGACTGATGAATATTTGTCTTCTTCACAACCATTAATCCACATGAACAAGACGGACTGAACCTTTTGCAGTGAAAGTACACTTGAGATTTATATATAAATGCCTACAGCACAAACTGGCTCATGTGCAGAGATCCAACCCTGCACATCTGGCAGAAACTGGGGACATTTTGTCCTTTAACTATGGCATGTGTGGAGAATTAATAAGTATATGAGTAGCTACACCAACTTTAAATATGCTATCCAGTGCAGACATATGGCTAACTTAAAAAAGATCTGGAGATAAAAGCTGATTAGTGAATGGGTGGAAGAAGAAATGTTTAAGTGATAGCCAGAGGCGCTGGCACCTGTGTGCCATGCAGCACAGGGACCAAAAGACAGCCTCCTGCAGAGGTTGTTACAGGATGAGAAAGCTGCACATCTGGAGCTTGTCAGTATTTTCACACAAAAAAATGTACTAAGATTTTCATACTGCTTCTGCCCTGGCACCTTTTTTTAAAAAAATAAAAAGCGGAGTGAACAATTACTTTTTAGAAATATTACTTAAGTGTTGAAATCAATCCTTAGTAAATCATATGACTTGCTTCAGGACTGAACATCACAAACATTTTAGAACAGTATTTCTTTCTTTCATCACTGGCATGCTTTTGTACAATATATGTAAATATGCCTTTTTTATCACAACTGGCTTCTGTTGGACAAATTCAGCTCTTTTTGCACATTCTCACTTGGCTCCAGATAGTGAAAGAACAGTGACACTGGTTTAGTGGAATGAATAGCCTCACAGGAGGCTCGGAGACTGAATGAATAACCCATCGGGGAGGCATCAGAGGAGTTACAGTGGAAAGATTTTGCTTGAAATAACAATAACTTCATCTCAGGAGCTCTGAAATTCAGATGCAGCTTAGAAAGCCTGATTTAAACACTAAGCCTACAGTGCATCCATACTTTTATAAATGTTGTCAGCTATAAGAAAATGGAATGTGTGAATCTTGTTTTATTAGGAAGTCTGAAGCGTTTCCAGATGTGCTTCTCGTTTTTTCTTTCTTTGATTTACTTTCAAAGGGTTCATCATAACACCCATTTACACATTTAGCCAAATCTGTGTGGACTCTTAAAAGGAGATTCTAAGTATAACACATCTCTCAGAGTTAATGTGATACAGAAAACATTAAAAGACAAAATGTTGACAGCATTTAGAGTTTGAGACATATTGTAGCTGTAAACACATTTGCAATGAGAGGTATATATCAGCAGAAAACAAAATAAGGGAGTTAATGTGGCAAACTAGTGCTACTAGTGCTCGGTCTACCACTGACCACACTACCGCACTGTGATTTTAGCTGAAATGTGTCCATGAAATAGAAGTCCACAGAGAGAGAGGGAGCAGTGAGAGAGAGACTTTTAAAAAGTAATAGCCATGACTAGGAGACTAGATGTTTTGTGTCAAAGAAAGAGCTTACAGGATCCAAAAGTGTTTCCGGTGAGCCCACTGAGTCTAATCACTCACAATGCTGTGACATCAGTCTTCAAAGGACGTGAAAAACAAGATTCCTTTCACACGTCCATCAACTTTGTGTAGGACTTTACGTGCCCAAATGATTAACGAGAAGCTGACCACATCACAGCCAAAGAAGTCGACTTGCTCCAATGGATGACAGTGAAAAATGGCTCCTGATGCCCTCTTTCCTAATTATGTGCTGCTTTGATTACCTAATGTTTTCCCACAACTTTAAATACTACTGGGTACATTTGTAGCAGCCGAATTAGTGCATTAAATGTACCATAAAACTAGTATAGGTCAACCTGAACGTACAGATTAAGATATTTTAAAACACTAATGTTCTCATTGGGGTTGATTCGTCTCTGCTCAGTTTACATTAAACTGTGTGAGTGCAATTAAATTCAGCCCTACAACTGCTATTACTGCAACAAATGCATTGCAGTTACACTCATTGCAATATTGCAAGTCCCTACTGAGACTGATATGGATGCCACTGAAGCTAAGGATACAAGAGGCCAGTTTATGAAGTATGACCGCTACATGTTGTGACATTGGATACATCAAACCTAAATCACTCCTTTATAAAGCTCATTACATCAAGTATTGATTCAACTCCTCTTGATTTCTTTTACAGCATACACAAACAGTCCCATCAATAACAGTGATGTGACTCATGGATTAAATGATCATCCCCTTCTTCTAGTCAACAAAAGCTGATCATGTTAAAAGGGTAAGTCACAAAGAAGGTCGTTATACAATCTATTACAGTCCAACTGAGGTGAGATGTTTTCAGGCCGATATCAGCGTGTGACAGTTCAAAATATCTGATAAATTAACAAGTACAATTTTTTCTGCATTGAAAAATGTAATAGTTGGAACAGCTTAAATTATTTGCTTCAATTGGTAAATGCGATTGAATTACATTTAATTAAGTTGGTATGTAACATTTATGCCACTGGTTTTATTAGGAATATTTAAATTAGCTGATTCGTCTCAAACAAGCACTGCTGCAACCTAATTTTGAATGAAGTCAACTTGAATTTTCCAACATAATTATTTGCTTTACCCAAATGTAAAATGTTGAACACAATTTTTACATTATACTTACTGTTCTTGTTTTATGCTGTAATACTACATAATGAAAAGGGAAGTTGCAATACAGCAGAAAGAACTGAAGAAACGTGAACGCCATGACAGAGGACACATGGTGCTACAGTCAACCTAATATTCTCACTTTTGCTAAAATTAGGATGAAAGTTTAAAAGGATTAAATATAATTTCAAGTTTATTGAATCCACAAAAGTGAACTGCCATCCCCAAAACAAAAAAATTAAATGAGATCTATTTAAAAAAAAAAACCTGCTTTATTTCAACTACAGCTCAAATACACTTTTTTATAGTGTAATAATTACAGTGTGTTTTTTCAGGGTTGGGATCAATGATCAAATATTAGCAATCAAGGAGACTGATAACTGGTAATTGGAACAGATATACACAACGAAAACCTTGGTGTGAACATTACAATAGCACAAGCTTCAACACAAAACGTCCCTGAAATGCTTTTGCTGTTTTAATGTTTTACATATGTTTAACTACAGTAGAACTTTCTAACATTTAACTTTTGGGGCTGATGGGCTACTGCTCATGATGCACAGTGTGTCAGACAGTGCTGTGGTCGGCACGTTGCTCAAGGCCACAGAGTGGTGACTGCAGATATCGAGAGGCTACTGCATCAGAGCCAAAGGGACGCACTTTGAAATGAAGTCATTTTGCACAAAATAGAACAGCTAAATTCCTAAATCTTTAAATCTGTCCTACCAGCGGTTGACATTGTTGAGAGCCAGCTTAGAAAACCAGCATATAAACATGACAGCCTTGGAGTTACATGTCTTCGTTTGGTAGATGCACATCACCTCCCCCCACCTCCAGCCTGTGCCCCTGGGCAAACACCAACTGAACTAATCTGTCACGAGAACAAACTGAGACCAACTCTTCATCAAACTACCGACAGCAAACACACCGACTTCAACAAGGGGACGCCAATGTGATGTAATTACTCAATTTCAGACTGTAATCCTTTACGCTAAACTACTTTTAGCCCAACAAAGTAATCCCATTACTGCAACACATTACTGAATATTACCACTCAACGCTGCTTGTCGGTGCTCTCTGGTGGACAAACTACACAATGGAGACGCATTCCTAAATGACCCTCAACAGATCTTTGGCATGTCTGTGCTGCTGTTTCTAGTGACTTACTGTGTGAGATGCAGAGATGATCAATGCACCTCCCAGTTTACTGGTGCATTCAAGCATTACAATCTATTCTACAAACTAAACATAAAGACATTATTAACCATCTCAGACCCATTCCAAATCTCTAGAATAAGAGAAAAAAACATGTTAAGTTGTTTTGCTTCAGCAGAAGTGAGGTGTTGTTCCTGAGAAGTTTGTGTGACTCAGCTGGAGTCACAAATAAAAGCCTGACTTGAGGATGATTCTGCTGCTGCTGTGCTTGATGTTCCCACAGTGACTGGTCTCAGGAACAGTGCAGCACTGCAGCCTGCCCCATGTGTGGTGGTCGAGGCGCACTCACCATTGGCTCCAGAGCCTGTAGGGGCGTTGCTTCTCAGTTGGTGAGTGCTTAGGGTGCACGGGGTGTTCTAGGGATGGCTAAGGGAAAGCGTACTTGGCACGGATCCCTCTTTTCCGTATAGACTGCAGTTTACATTAGGCAGCAATTTTTTTTTTCTCCTCTCTCTCCACGTCTTTTTTTGCGGGGGGGGAGGATGAATGTGTCATAAATAGTTGGTCTTTATAGAGGGGTAGTGGTTGTTTAGCAATGCGATGAGGCCAATGCACTTTGCAAGAGTTGCGCTGCAGAGAGCCTCCGCGGATCCCACGACCTGTTGCTGACAAGCCGGGGGAGAAGGAGAGGGAGAGGGGGAGAGACGGAGGGTTACTGCCTTGGAGACGACAGCCTGGGGTTTTTCTTCGCCGAGGAAATCATGCAGTTTGCAATCTGGCTGGTTGGACTAATGTGTCATCTGTCAGTACTCGTCCGGGAGAGCCTGCAACACCGACTGCATCCGAAGCAAGGTTTGTGTTTTGATTTACGCGCACGATCACAGCTGAAGGTGCTGGAGATGTGCAGGGCTGTCAGCTGCATTTATTCAACCAAACACTCTGCCTCACTACTTTCTCTGACTTTTTGTTTGCAGAAAGCTTCATCAAGCAGCTGTCATCGTATGAAATCATCACCCCGCTCCGTGTGAATGACTTCGGCGAGTCGTTCCCCCACAAATTGCACTACAGGAGGAGACGGAGGAGTTTAAATGACGACCTGTCGGGTTTGCGGGTTCACTACAGGATTGATGCGTTCGGGGAGCGCTTTCATCTCAATCTAACCGCGGACTCCGGCTTCATCGCCCCCTCGTACTCAGTGACACACTTAGGAGCGGAGCAGAGCAACGACACGGACTCCCACTTCCACGACCCGAGCGATATGCGCCACTGCTTTTTCCGCGGACACGTCAACACCAAGAGCAAGCACCCTGCTGTGTTCAGCCTGTGCACCGGCCTGGTGAGTGTTTCAGCAAGCTGACTCCCTTGCATGCATGTCGTCCCCCCCACATCAGGTGTAGCTTTACTATGAGGATCTGAGGATCTGTGAAGTGATGCTGCTGTTGCAGAGCTTGAGGATTTTGGTTGATGTCACAGGAAGCATCCACTCTGCTGAAGTGCTCTTGAGCAGGCTTCAACAGCTCCAATGAAGAGGGAAAGATTCCCTCCTGAAATAAATACCAGTAGATGAAGCACAGGTTGAGGTGGATTTATCCTGTATTGTCTGGTGCTTTTACTTTCTTCTTCAGGAAGCCTGTAAATCTTTTTTTTTTTTAAGTAGCACAAATGCCTGAAGGAGTAACTTGATCAATAAGTATGTCATCCAAAACTTTTAAATACTTTTTTAATCATTCAAATATTCACAGTATTAATCAAAAATGCCCATGCTTGAAGCTTTCAAGTTGTCAAAGGTTGACTGTGTCTTCAGTGATTTACATCACTGTAAAGTGAAGCTACCTGAAGATATCGCTGCAGGGTTCTTGGAACTTGTTTCCCTTTTTATCACATTTCATAGACCGTTTGATCCAAAGGGGAAATAATCATCAGCTTTTATGAATGTCTTCTCACAACCTGAAAGAGCAGATATGGTCACTGAGTATTCTTTTTTTTTCTTTAATTGCCCTTTGTCGTATCGTTCAGATTTTATGGGCCTCTAATGGAGTTATTGGGTAATAATGAGTTTATGGACCCAATATATCACGCGGGCATCCGGATGCCCAAGTCATTTAGTTTGCTGACTCCCGTGTGAGAGAATCTGATAACTGCTGAAGGGGGATGACTTCATGGGTCACATAAGGTTACTGGTCCAGGGGCAGGGGGTTGACCTCAGTCGCGCCAGCCGGATTCTGGCTTGGACTCTGCATGGTTTAGGGGTTGGAGGGGGTTGTTTGGCTGGTCACAGCAACGCAGACAGAGTGACCATAGCCTTGGAGAGACTCCCTCCCCATCCCAGCCCCTATCAGTGACATAATCCTTATTTTAGATAGGCGCAGTGTGTACAGTACCAGGATAGCATGTCACAGAATAGGTATCAGCTGCACTTTGAGGCTTTTTGAACTTGTACATTGACAATGCATGCAGTGATTGTACTCCTGCTGAGACATCAGATCAAAAAATCATTGCGTTTTATCTCTTAGTAGGAATAAACTCACAGTGTCGGGAAAAAAAAGAAGAAGGGTTTTCCCCTTTATTTGGTACGCTTCAATTATCAGGGTAATAAACCTTTAATTGCCCTTCTGCCCAACTTTGATGTATTACTCACTTATCCAAACATGTTTGCATCCTTTTTTCAACAATCTTTGTTGCTTATCCGCATCATCACTCATTGAGAATGACAGGACAATGGATACAGCACCAGAGGCTATTGGGTCATAAATGCGTCCGTATCTGATCACTGGGGCTTTAATGGCCGGCCACATTTTGTTGGGATGAGGTCATTAAGGAATAATTAAGCCCTAAAACAAAGGGGTCATTCTAGAAAAAGCAGGTTCCCCTTTCGTCCAGAGTTGCTCAAAGCTATCCCCAGGGGGCAACTAAAGGGAGGGGGCAGAGTTTAGGAGCTTTTGGCCTTTTCAAAGTGAGCTGTGACGGGCAGAAAAGAAGGGGAGAAATGCTCTGAAGAGGAGACAACTGCCAATGGAGGTTGAGGGGAACTTAAGGATTGCTCACACCGTGGGAAATGTTAGTTCCTGGAGGAGCCGGCTCTCTCTGCTCTCTCACACAATAGAAGTGTGTGGTGAGTCAGGCTGTCCGGGGGAATGAGCCTATCTTCATTCCTGCACCAAGCGATGAACCTCTGTGTAAAGATCAGCCTCATGACGCCTTTATGTCCTATTTAACTTTAGAGATTGAATGCAACTGTACGTCCCTTTTGGGACTCGGCGCCCACTGGGCTTCATCGTGTCTTTGTGGGATTTAATAAAACGGATGTGAGCCAACAGTCACTCCACCCATGTCATGAATGTGACCTCACTTCAGATAAGCTTCTCTTATTTGTAAGGGTCCAGTTCAGCACCCGCTGCTGAACAGCAACTATTGTGTCGGTCCAAGCTTTTGCCAGAGTTGCTGCTGAGGTAATGCTGGAAAACCCTGAAATTCTGCTCCCCCATCTGACTGAACAGAGCATTTATCTGTTCAGCCTTCTGTTAACACCTCATGAAACTGTAGGAAGGATCCACTATTACTAATTCAAGTTAGCTCACCATAGAGAGTGATTTACAAGATACAGGTAAACATCTACCAGTTGTTACGCTGCATAAATCATTCATTGCTTTTTGGTTGCAGCAGCCGTAGTAGAAACCAAGCAAATCCAAAGTTTTCTATGGATTCCTTTTTAGCAAGAACTTTGCAAAACAAAAAGGAAATTTTAACACAGACAATTCTATGACCACTGAGAAATCTCCATCTTCTGAAGATTTTGTTAAATGACTGAAAAGAGAAACAATGTCGCAAAAAATGTTGTCTCCTGTTTTTCTCCATAAAATATGGTTTATAATAGTTGTTGCCAAGGCAGTGATTATTTACTGAGGCATGCGAGGAACTGTTCTTTACATTGGGTAATTTTCTGTGTGATTTATGATCTATGGTTGTCAGAGAATCACAGTCAGAATATTTATATGTTGTTTATTTTGGTGCTATCCCCCTCCCCTCCCCCCCCAAGACAAATGTGAGCATAAGTATATGTCAGCTAAACTTGAAGTATATTCTACAAAGTCCCTGAGAGAAAACAAGTGAGTGAATGATTGGATTAATCTTTGTTTTGACTGCAGCTTCTCCAGAAAGCATTTGTCACAGTTTGCTTTGTGGCTGAACCGACAGTCCAGTGTGTGCGATGTAAAACATTGTTGCAAAATCTCATGCTGAATTTGTCTTTGAAGAAAATATGCTTCATCCCTCGCTCGAATTGGAGTCTATCCTTACTACAATAGACGAGAAATAGTTAAATTCATCGACAGAAAATGTTATTATTGCAGAACAGCACTAGAGGCGAGAAAAGTGCACAGCTTTAAAGCTCCAAGGTCTGTTTTCAGTGGTGAGATTGTTTGTATGCTGGTTATTGTTTTCACAAGCTTGTGATTACACTGCGGCACTGAACACATGTAGCACTTACAGCCCGTGGCACCTTCGAGGAAGTTTGGTGTCTGTGTGGAAGGGAACTAATCCTTCGCTCTTAGAAAGCTGGAGAGGAAAGTGCACATGCAGTTTTGTACTTGCTTTCCATATCCGATTTGTGTGTTTTCCATTGTCAACTGTCCATCACTTGTGGAGACGGTTATGGAATAATGCTGCCTTAAAGATAACATTCCAGTGTCCAATATCCTGTTTAAGTGTGCGCATGAAATTACCATGCAAACACCATTGTGCCTCATGGCTGAGTGAGCTAAGAGGCTTTGTGAGGGACTGAGCTGCCAAATCAATATTAGCATTCCTCTGTCAGCAGCTCTGTCCCTGTATGATGATGTCATTCTTCCCAGTGTCAGAGTGTGAGGGGAAAATGCATTTTCACAGTTGTAACAAGCACTGACTCAACAAACTGTGTTAAGGTGTGAGATGGTTTACTCAATCACAGTGACTTACTTGCACATTCACAAATGTGTAAAAGGTGTCAAATACATCTCAGTGGTCTTTGAGTTCTGATGATGAAAGTTTCAACATTTTCTAAAAGTTCGTTGTTACAGATGTTCCCTGACCTTTCTGAGTCAGCATGTTCTTTCCATGTGCACCTGTCAAAAACAGAGCTTGTCCAAAAGCATGGAAATAATGTGCACAATGGTGCCCAAGGCTAGAACAGAATGAATGCAAAGAGACTACGACCCCTGTAAATGAAACTATGCCCTAATCTGTAAACTACAGTATGCACATGCAAGTGCATGCTTCATACCAAAGCCATCAATGACACCTCTTTATTTTTTTCCTATAGATTGGAACTTTTACGACACAACACGGTGAATACTTCTTGGAGCCTCTTTTAAATGCTGTGGGGGACGAATATGATGAAGAACACAACAAACCTCATCTTGTCTATCGACATGAGAGGAAAAGGAACATCTCGAACACTGACAACAACGTGGAGCCCTGTGCTGCCTCAGGTAACAGACTACCTAACTAAACAACCTGTAACCACTGTCTGTCTGACTTTCACCCACAAACATTTACCTCCTCATCATCTGCATTCACTCTCTGCACCGTGGCCATAAATACTGCCCTAAAATGTAAATTATACTCAGTCACAGTCTTTGGCTTGCAGGATACCCAAAAAATTTCAGCCTTGATTAAGGGGTGTTACTGAGAACTACTCAACTTAATTAAGCAAGACGCGCTCCAGCACAGCCTGGGGTTTACACTCCTTGTCTGCTGCAGCACTCAGACCCAGGTCTGTGGTAGGAAGTCTAGGAATAATTGCTTCTTAGTTTGCAATGAAAAGAACTGGAGAGGTTTTTCTGCTTGGGAGGCTGCTTGAAAGTTCCCCCAATTTCATTTGAATTTTTATGGTTGAAGCCTTTGGCTGATGGAGAGGCCCTCGAGAGGAAGCAGGGTGAGCAAGTGGAGTTCACCTCGATGGAAGACCCTAAATTCGTCCTCACAGAGAGCTCTGAGGGCGGCCTTTGTTGTACGACGCAATAAATCTTTTATGTGCAGGACGTCTGATTGGCTTGTTGTTTGAACCAAGCCATTGTTGCCTGGTGGTGGCCATTGTGTGTAGCAGTGGTTTAAAAAACTGGGACTGACCTGATGGGCCAGACCAATACCGCTTTAATATGCTTTGCCCTTTCACTCTCTCAGTCTGTGGGTGGCAAACAGAGACTGAGATATCTGGAGGGTCTCTCAGCCCCCACTCTCAGACACTTTAAATATATACTCTCCCTGCAGAATCGGCTGGGTGAATGCTTTGTGAATGACCCCTGACTTCTGACGTCTCAGGAACAACCATTGTCATAATTTAGTCATCATTTATGTGTTAACCAGTTATTGTTTAAACTCCTCTTAACCTTAAATGAGACACAACCTGAATTGTCATGTCATAGCTTAGCTATAACATGAAATCCTTGCAGACATTATATTCAGGAGACAGCAGGGAGGGAGATTTGTGAATGGGTGAGACACCTGTGTGGCGTCATCAAAGGGCAGCAGGTAAACAATGAGCAGGAGGATTAAAAGAACCAGTGAGCCTGGCTTAAGACTTAGGTGTCCCAGGCTGCGGCTCCTCAGCTTTATCAGATAGGCCCCCCTCCAGATGCAGCGATAAATGTGTTCTTTGAAGGCCTCGCTGAGCCAAGACTAACAAGCCTGTCCTGTCTTTTTATGGGAAGGAGTGCAGTGCACGCTGCTACTAGCAGGTTAGATATAAACACTGTCTTGGCACGTGCCGTTCTGCTTGCAAAACACTTGTAGTTGCTGCTCCCGTTAATAGATTTAGGCATTTTCCTTTTGACTTTGGGCTTGCCCCTTTCTTTTCTTAACCCCATGCCACCTATATCTGTACAGGATGTCTTCTTTATGTTCCCCGTCAAACTAAATCAGTGTCAGAATATGGCAAAAAAAAAAAAAAAAGTCAAGAAACACTTCTGTGTTGTTGGCAGAGCAATTAAGGTAGAGCTTCCCTTAAAAATGAAAATATTACTGTTTAGTCTGTTATAGGAAGGTACACGTCAGATTTAAAATATTTTAAGAGCTTCAGCTTGAGCTTTAGTAGCTTGCAAGGAAAAAACAGTCCTTTAGAACTGAAAAACGTGAGAAATTACTCCAACCAAACCAAATGCACTTTATTTTACAATAACATTTAGTTAGTTGGAAGTTAGTTAGCGACACATACTGTAGGTGTTGCCAACATTTTGTCCACTTCGGAAATATCATTATATCATAACATCATTATATTTCAAAAAAATGACACAACACCACATACTGCAGCCTGAAAAGTCTTTCAGGGGGTTACATTTAGGGGTTTTAGGATCCAGTGGTCATGCTTCTCATTGAACTTGAATGCAGTAACATCCTGAGTTGCCAAACCAAATTGCCTTTTTCTTGGCTCTGCTTGTGTTGCTTGTTATGAAAAATTGAGTTAAGTTCTATCTTTTAAGCGGCAGCAGAGGAGTCAGTCAGTCAAATTGCTTTATGATGATCTAGCCGGCAAAGACCCCCAAACGTCAGCCTCCACCACTGTCAAGCGTTAACGCAACACATACTGTACATGAATCCCTCTTCATAGAGAGAGGTGCTTTTAAAACATAGCTTTGTTTCACTTTGGTGCATTTCAGTTTTTAGTGTAACCTCCACAGATCCTGATTCACGGCACATTTGTGATTTATGTCATCACATAAATGATGGACCTAAGAACCTGTGATGTTAGCAGGGGGGCAGATTCCAGTATCGTCTCTGTTTGAGGAGCTATAAAAGCACTCTTTGTCAGGGTCAGCCATCCTATGACTCTCTTTTTCTCTTTCTGTCTCCTTCTTTCTCCACTTTATGTCTCTGTGAAGAGGGCTCTTGTCTTAAATCAAAATTAGGAACTGGAGTGCTGAGGGGTTTGGCAGATTTGAGACTTTGAAGAGGTTTCGAGCCCTTGTACGTCCAAACACATGGAAATGCTGAATGTGAGAGGCTCTTCCATGTGTAAAGAAATTGTTTTGCAAGACACATTTACTCCCTGTGATTATTGTTCTTCATCTACTTTTCTTTTTTTCTCTTCGCCCTGAAATAAAACCGATTTTAGAAAATGATGAAACAAGCTGCGTTTTATCAAGGACACCTCCAGGAAACAAAATGTGTATCAGCAGAAAGATACCACTACTAAGATAAGTGTTTCCTTCAGATGTGATGTCTCAGAGTGCTGCCTTAGTGCTTTACAGACTGTGCCAGAACAACAACAGGGACTTCTGTATCTCAAATTAGTAAGAGTTTCCAAAGTTTGTACAGTCTCTGCAGAAAACGTGTTGAAAGGGGAGGAAGGCTATGTTTCCGCAAAGATGAATTTAACAAAGATGAAGTTTTGTTTTCAACTCGGCGCTTGTCATCTCTGACACGTACAAAGGCTTGACTTTTTCATACATGTGCTGTCACTGCCTGTGAGATGTCAGAAGCAGAAGTGGACTGATAAGGGCTTTTAAAGTGTTACCTTGATGGAAAATGATATTTTGTTATTTCAGCAGTCGGGACACAGCCATATACCTGTCTTCAGCTGCTTTTCTACGCTGTGTGTGTTCATGCCCTGTTGATAAAGCACTACGGTGTCACTGTACGTGCCGTTGAACCGATGGGAGTTTAAAGTACATTTCAATGTAAAGTTTCATGTTAGCAGTGAAAATAAATCAGAGCAAATCAAAAACATCTGAACAGCTTTATGACATAGAGTGTCACTGGGTGACACTGTGAGTGGCTGTATCAGTTCTTTCTCTCTGTCAGCCAACCTGGGTGGCTGCCCTGCTGTTTAGAATACCTCAGCAGTAGATAGCTGTTGAGTGGGTGATTAATGTTTTTAAGTCTCAGAGTGCCGGGTTCTGGAGTTTAAAAGCATCTGGGGAAGAAGCATGTCGGGCTCAAATCACAACACCAGCCCCGACCTTTAATGACACATTCTGCAGGATACCAGCCTCTGAGCGTGCATGTGAATCCCTGCATCGTCCTTCGATAGAGATAACCGCAAAGATGAGGGTAGGGTAGGTAGATAGGGGCAGATTCTTCTTCGCTCTTTGCTTTCTTAAAATCCAAGTGAAGACAAGTTAGAGTCGCAGGGAAGTGGAACTGTGCAGTATCTCTTTCTTACAGTCACCAGCTGCCAGTCTACAGTTCGTGGTATTTTTGTCTGAATTAGCTTAATATTAATTAAACATACAGACAGATGGACAGCAACCTGAAACCCAAACATCGCAAAACCCTGCTCCAGTGTCGGCTCTCAAACGTTCCACCTGATTTCTTGATGCCTAACTTGAGGGGGCAACTGAGACTGGCTTTGATGCAGCAATACTTGGCACACATGGCATCTGTGCCCCCTGACCCTCAACACAATCATTGTACAGGATTCCCCCCTTGGTGCCCACTGTGTATACATGGTAGTTCAAATGCAAGCATCGGGTTTTTTGGTCAATGGGTTCATTTACACGGAAAAATGCCCTCCCCCGCCTGCGGTTTGAACTAGCCGACTTGAATCGGTGCCCGCTCTCCCTTTGCGCTTTCATGTATGTGAATAGAAGCACTTGTTGATTGTGACCTCACTTCCCTCTTTGTTTGGAGTCACTCACTGAACGGTTGGATGTGACCTTGAATTTTCCCCTCCTGGAGGTGCGTGGCTTCTGGGCTCGCTGGCTTGTTTGCTGGGACTGACTTGGAGCTGCATGAAGCTCTTTGTTTTCCTCTTAACTCCTACTCTTGACAGGGGTCAGGAAAGAGTGGTCAGCCAGGGCGTGATGGGTGAGCGCTGATCACTCAGACAACCTGCCTCACCTTTAGGTCTGGCTTTTGATGCTGTGGAACTTCTGAATGTCACATGGCTCCAGAAGGCTTAGGCTCACTCTGTGTCCTCATGCCCCCCTGGACCTGCTGAACCTCCCCCCATTGCAGGAAGTGTCTATTGTTGCTAGGCAAAAAAAAAAAAAAAAAGGTTTGTTTTGGAGCTTTTGTGTGCATGCAGAGATGTGGTTTGCTTGTGAATGTGTGTTTGCGAAAGTGCATGTCATCTCCCCCAGCCTGTCTGTGGACGAAGTGTCCCACTGAGTGCTTGGAATTGCTGAGCGAGCATTGCAAAGGAATGGAGAAAGAAATTTCTTTCTTCATGTGTTTGAGCAGTCCTGGTCAGCGCTGCATGTGCCTGTCGGTCTTGCTGCAGAGCTTGGCGGTGGCCCATGGCTTTTCCCAAACTCCCACTGCCTGCCTTTCTTCTTTTACACCTGCTCCTATAAAGTAGCTTTCTCACCCACTGCGGTGCTTCTGGCCGTCGTTCAAATCAGAATCAGAATCGGAATTTCGTTTGTGTTTTGAACGCGCTTTCGAATGGGTGCAGTATTCTCTTCATATCACCAAGATGATAATACTCATCTTAATTATCAAATGAGTTTAAAAATGTGTTTTCTCACCAACATATGTATTTGTTTTGTGC